GGGGGGGCCACAATGGCAGCTGAGTCTTGTGGCGGCTCTTCCGATCTGTTTCCACCTCCTTCGTTTCCAACTGGCAGCATTCTGGGCTAACCTGGTGTTCTGATTTCCGTGTCATCTGGCGTTTGGACTGCAGTCTCAATTCTCCACATCTTCGGTTTTGGTGGTGGTTTTGGTGGCTTGTTTGTTTTGGTGCTGGGGATCAAACCTCTACTCCTAGCCTCTGTTTTCCAGATCTTGAAGTTTTACCCCTTCCCCTTGATTCCCCTCTCTCTCGTGTTTCCCATGCACAGCCAGGGAAATCACCGTGTTCCACATAGAAACACATTTCTGAAAAATTGCTTAGAAGTCTCCAGCAGTCTTTCTAGGGTACTCCAAGCTCTCAGGGTTGCTCAGTCTTCAGTGTCTTTAAGTTCTTCCTGGTAATTTCACTGTTTATTCTTTTATTACATTTTACTTATTTTTGGTGTGTGTGTGTAGCGTCCCATGTGAAGGGCAAAGGTTGACCTGGAGTCAATTCTCGTCTACCATGTGGGCTCTGAGATCACACTTGGGTCCTCAGGCTTGACAGTAAGTGCCTCTGCCTCCCAGCCATCGCTGGCCCAAGCTCATCTTCTGCTAGTCCCCGGGTTTGTTCTCCAAGCACTTTTTAAGTTACATTATTGTCATGCACACGGGCACACAAATGCCCGACACACGTGTAGATGTGAGAGCACAGTTTTCAGGAGCCAGTTCTCCCTCCACTGTGGTACTGAGCCTCCACCCAGGTATCAGGCTCAAGTCAGGCCTGGAGGCCAGAGTCTCACTGGGTCCGCCATGTTCTTTAAACAGTGTGTTTTGTCCCCTGATGTCAGTGTCTGCTAATCTCATGCTCAGAGCCCTGTGGACGTTTTTTGTTTTACTTAGCTTTTCGAGACAAGGTCTTTCTAGCCTGGCTGTCTTGGAACTGACTGTGTAGACCAGGCTGGCCTCAAACTCACAGAGATCTACCTGCCTGTGCCTCCTGAGTGCCGGGATTAAATGTGTGCGCCGATATAGCTGGCCCTTGTAGATGTTTTTATTGTCAGTTATTACTCCTGTTTTCTATTCACATTCTCCACCCTTAGTGTTCCTGGGAGGTTTTGATTGTGTGTCTAACACTGCATTTATAAAACTGATGGGCGGAATTGGGAGCCTAGAGCTCTCCCTACAGAGGTTATGTTACTCCGGGTACACTAGCCTGCGTGAAGAGACTGGTATTTAGAAGGGCAGTCTATTCTCTTCCCCCTTCCTTGTGAGACACAGCTATTGGGGTCTTGGTCCAAGTGTATAGGATCATCATAGCCTCTTCTTAGTGTAAGAGATGGCTTCAGTCTTGTGATCCTTCTGCCTTGGTCTCCAGTGCTGAAATTACGGACATCTGACAGATTATAACTCAGACTGTTGTTTTGGAGTTGTTTTTCTTTTGTTCCCTTGTGTTTCCTTTGTCTTTAACTTTGTGGTAATGCCACCCTCTGCTTTTGGTTTCCGCCTTCATCCTGTTGTGGTCATAGTAGGTACTTTCCAGATCTTAAGTGTGAGAGCTGCTGTTTCTTGGCCTCATGCACTGTGTCCCGTGGATTGCCTTTAGCGTGCTCGAGAGAAGTGAGAAGTGCGCAGCACCTCGGCCTGGGACCCCAGTGTGTACACATTCTTGGGAAAGTCGTGCCTTTCCCCGGCAGGTGGGGGGTGCAGGTGGGGATTGAGTGCGCTCCTCATGAGCTTTCTCTTTTCTCTTAGCAGATTTCCCACCTACCCAGAGTTTCTGGAGCCGCAGGCGTTTCGATCCAGTTTTGACAGTGACCCCATGCCAGGGTAAATAAGGCCTTTGGGGGAGGGTTCCTGGCAGATGTGATAAGGGCTCAGGTAGGCCTGGGGGTGGCCTCGGTGCACTAAGATGGCACAGAATCATTAGGATGGTGCCCTGGTGAAGTTGTAGTCATGTTTGCCCCCTGGGATCCTTGACCCTCCAGGGCACGGGGATGCTGGGGAGAGAAACAATAGGAGTAACCGCATGGGGGCTGGTAGTGGAAGGTCCAGGGGTGGCGTCCATATTGACCTGGGTGGTGGGGTGGCAGGGACCTGATGGGGAGGGGTAGCAGAGGAGGAAATGACATTCGGTGATGACTCCAAAGCTGTGAGGCCATGGTGGCAGTCAGGTGGCCGATGGTCGTGGCAGAGTGACGGCTATGCTGATGGTGGAGCCGGTGATAAGTGTGAGGTGATGGGGTGGTAAGGCTGAGGCAGGGGCTGAGATAGCAGAAGGGCCTTCATCACCATGTGGGGTTTGTGGGTCGTGGCCACCACTGTTGAGGCATCTCCATCTCGGGATCCAGAAAGGGAAGCAGCTGGGACTCCTCCCTCCCACATTCAGAGACGCCGCACACTCCTCTGGCCAGGCTTCTCCCTTTTTCTTTCTTCCTTTTCTCCCTCCCTTGCTTCCTGAGACAAAGCCTTTTGTGGCCCAGGCTAACCTTGAACTTGGAAGATGACCTTGAATTTACGATCATCCCCAGTGATTGAATTACAGGCGTGTGTCACCACGCTTAGTTTATACCGTGCTGGGGATTGAACCCAGGGCCTCCTGTGTGGTAGCTGTGAGAAACAAGACACCCACTCTGTAATAACATATTCGAGAGACTAGAGAAAGGAAGACCGTTTTTAATATGTGATTCTGCAGGATAGGACCCAGCACAGAGAAAAGGCTAAAAGAATTGGGATGGTGTTTAGGGGTGAGAAATTCCAGAAAAGTATAGTCTTCCAGTTCTTCTAGTATAGCCTCCTTCCGGGATCCCCCGTCCTGTTGGTTCAGAATGTGAAGCCGTATCTAGTGAATGTCCGGAGCTTGGCCACCAAGTGAGTGCCTGCAACATTCCAACTCTTCACGTTCTGAGACGAGCAGGCCAGCAGCCAGAGTGGGGGATAGGGGCCTTTTGTCGCTGATTATTTTAGTGCTCTGAGCACACAACAGACTGAAAATGGACCAGAATAATTTGTCTCTCACAAAGGCAAGCACTCTATCAACTGAGCTCTCTCTCCAGTGTTTTTGTTTGTTTGTTTGTTTGTTTGTTTGTTTGGAAACAGGCTCCTTCTCTGTAGCCCCGGCTAACCTGGAACTATGTTCTTTGGGCTGGCCTCTGCTTCCTGATTGCTGGAATCATACTCCAGTGCCACAGAGCAAGTCACAGAGGAAAAGAACACATGGGTCAGTCAGTGTTGCCGGCAGCCGTTGGGAGTGGCTGTGATTCCTGGCCAGAGGTGCTAGGGAGGGTAGGAGGGAGTTGGTGGTGGTGCTCAGCAGTGCCTGCCAGCAAGGAACAAAGGCGAGAACGGACAAGTGAACAGGTTTCCTTGGCCTCTGCTCTAGAGACAGAGGTCCAGCCCTGCACAGGGATGCCAGATAGGCACAGGCTAACATTGGGATTGGGGTGGAGGATCCTTGCCTTGAAGGATTGGGTAGGGTGAACGTGCAAAGGATGGAACCGGAGGGACAGCAGCTTTTGAGGAGCAGTGGCAGGGAGACTCAAGAGGGAAGGCTGGGGCTGAGGGCAAGAAGGCAGCTGGTCTGAAGCGCTGTGGACTGCACTGAAGGGGGCTTGGTCCCCCGTCCTGGCAGGAGCAGTCCAGCACAGCATATTGAAGAGCAGATTGGAAGCATGTGTGGTAAGTGTGGATGGCCCAGTGGAGACCAATCAGGGGCCTGACATGGTGCAGGAAGGCTTTTTTGGGGACTTGGTGGAGACGGCTGGAAGTATAGGGGTAGGGAGAGGAAGAACGGGATGCTAGGATTTCCTTTTCTCCTATTCTTCAGAGCCCCAGAATTGTGCACAGAAGTGAAAGCTGGGGGACAGGGCTGTCTGTGACAGACACTCTGCTAGGTATCTGTTGCTCCCTGTGTGCTAAGGGCTCTCACATTAGCCACGCTCTGAGTTGTCACACCCTCAGTGTGCTTTGTTTTTTGGCTTATGGTTTTTGGCTATGTAGCCCTGGCTGGCCTGGAACTCATACATAGACCAGGCTGGCCTCAAACTCGGAGATCCTCCACCTGTCTCTGCCATGTGGGCACCACCAGTGCCTGACCCCCTGGGCCATCTGAATGGACGGGACTTTAATTCTGTGATAGCATTAGCCAAGGAGTCTGGTGTTTTCCTGCCTGGAAATGTGTCTCCTTGAACTAATGCTTTGGGCTGAGGTCTGAGAGATGAACAGGACTTATTAGGTGGGAGTGAGGGTTGTGGAGATGAGCCTCTCCCTCTGCCCCAGACAGCAAGGCCTGGGTACACAAGGACACAGCTTGGTACTCGGTGATCTGGCTAGAGCAGAGATAAAGAGGGAGGGGTGCCTCCGCCTGGCTTTGTGGGTCCTGCAAGGAGATTTTTGATGTTGTTAGGTTTTGTTTTTTTTTTGGGGGGGGGGGGAGGGTTCTCAATATAGTCCAGGCCTGCCTGGAATTCACTAGGTTGCTCAGGCTGGCCCAGAACTCATAATCCTCCTGCCTCAACAGCCTCCCAACTTCAGGTATTGCCTGTGTGTGAGTACACTCAGCTAAATTTTTAATTAAAGGTTGAAGTTGGCTTTTTTTTTTTTTTTTTTTTTTGGTAAGTTTTGCTATCCAGTTAGGGAAACCCTGGATTTTAATTGTCAGCTGCACTCACACCATACCCACTGAAAGGTTGTACACACACTGTCACTGGTGGGGAGGGAACAACTTCCTGTGGTTCCAGGAGCTGGGGGAGCCTTAGGCATCACAACCAACTGGGAAACATGATCAGGCCTGGCAGGGCCATGTGGTGGGTCAGGAGAGCAGAGTACCTCGGAGGCTGGCGCTGGGCTGCATTTAGAGGCCAGGGCTTGCAGGCCAGGGAAGCTGTGTCCTGGCCTCTGTGTCCCCTTCCAGCCCTTCTCAGAGCCTTCCCCCGAGCCGCTGGTGCTTCAGCAGTGCCTGAGTCATACTGTGTCTTTAAGAGGGTGGCTACAGGGCTCTTGAGTCTGTCCTTCCTGCCGCTGACGTCAGGAAAGGGGAAAGACTGAGGAGGAGATTCGATTTCCATTTCTTTGAGAGGGGAGGAAATTGAAACTGAGTAGCCCCTGATAAAAAGGGGAGTCCTGAGCTTTGGGAGCCCCTTGAGTGAAGGCAGAGGTTAACATGGGGTGAGCAGGGGCGGGGCACATTCTGTAGAGAGAGGCACAGAGCCTCTGGACCTCCCACTGCATGCCACCGGCTGTGTGAAGGCGTTTTTGCCCTTTCCTGCTTCCGCCTGCTTAGGGAGACACCTATGGTCTCACGGTTCCGGGTTCCGTCTTGGATGCTTGTCTTGGGCCACATGGTGGTAAAGCCTCCTGTTTTGGAAGCCTGAAGTGTGTGTGGGCCTGTCCCTAAGTCTGTCCTTGGCCAAGAGGCGCAGATAAATCTTTGCTGCTCCTCTGGGCTGTGAACTCCTCATGTAAGTGGGGTAGCACCTTCATCCTTGCTCTCTGGTCTCAGAGTGGCAGGTGCCCTGAATGTGCCTGTTCCAGTTGCCAAACATTTGCCTTCTATTAGAATACAGCACAGGCTCTGGACCATGGGGGGATAATGGAGGCCCCGTCTGCTATTGGCAGTATTTGGGGGGACTTTGAGAGGGCAGGCCCTCTATTCGGTGGGTGCCCGGGCTAGGCAGGGAGGCCTCTTCCAAAGAGCACCGCTGCCTCCATCTCGCCTCCCTGGAATGGACCTATGCCAGCGAACCACGAGGCAGCCTGGAATGTCACACAGCCAGGCAGTTCTGCAGCACTTAGCACCTGTTTTTGACTCGGATCCCATCTTGCCTGGCTTGTGGCATATACCTGACAATTACAGAGCTGCTTATTTGGTGGGGAAGGGCAAGGTGTGTGGGTAGGCAGATGTAGGGAGTGGGCCTGGGGTAGGGCGCTATATGTAAAACAGAGAGCAGCCATGTTGGACACATGAGGAAACTGAGGCTGAAATAGATTCATACCGCACAACTGGGGAGTTTCTCAGCCTCTTTTGCCAAAAGGGGTGGCCCTGGAAACAGGTGAAATGAGGGTTGCTGGTCATGGGGAAGAGTGAGGTGGTTACAGCTGGCTCTTTGGCAGGTTTGGAGCAACTGTCGCAATTGGCCTGACCATCTTCGTGGTGTTCATTGCCACCATCATCATATGTTTTACCTGCTCCTGCTGCTGTCTGTATAAGATGTGCCGTCGCCCACGACGTAAGCTTGCCCTGCCCAACCCTGCCCGCCAATGCCCCTCCCTGTGTGAGCATGTAGATCCCCAGGAGGGCAAGTGGTGCTGACCAGGAACCTGTTTTGGCTAATGGAGGGGTGGGAGGGAAGGCGAGGCCTCTCCTGGCCTAGGGAGCTGTAAGGTTTTGACTAATCAGGATTCTCTTTGCAGCTGTCGTGACCAACACCACAACTACTACCGTGGTTCACACCCCTTACCCTCAGCCTCCAAGTGTGGCCCCCAGCTATCCTGGACCAACGTACCAGGGCTACCACCCCATGCCCCCCCAGCCAGGAATGCCAGCAGCACCCTACCCGACACAGTACCCACCTCCCTACCTGGCCCAGCCCACGGGACCTCCAGCCTATCACGAGACTTTGGCTGGTGAGCACCTGGAACCTTCACGTCCCCCAGCTCATGCCTCTGCCCCTCGGGCCCCTTCCTGCCGGCTTGCCTGCCTGTTTACTGCAGCCAGTGTCCCCACAGCTAACCCATGTCCTTTCTACTTTCAGGAGGCTCAGCCGCACCCTACTCTGCAAGCCAGCCTCCATACAACCCGGCCTACATGGATCCCCCAAAGGCAGTTCCCTGAGCCTGCCCCAGCCTCTTTGGCTGTCATTTGATTATGTCATGTGTGAGTGAGTGGTATGCAGAGTTCTCCTACTGCTGTCTGTGGTGTGTGTGCGCCTTGTCTAGACATGTGGCTTCCTCTGCTGCTGACCAGGTAGGCACAAATCCTTACCAGTGTGGGTCTGAACCAACCTATTCTCTTTCTCACTTGAAATTATACTTTATGAAATCTCAAGTAAATTAAAAACAGTGGGGTAGATGTTTCCCAGTTCACCCCACGGTGACCAGCCATGGCCTGTCACCTTTAGGAGAGCAAGCTTTTTGTGGCCACATGTCCTGCTCTAGGAAGGAAGCAGCTAGCTGCTGCTCAGGGCCATTTCTTGTTCCCAGGCTTGGCTACATTTTGCAGGGGTGGGGGGGGGCAGATAGGTGGGCAGAACACAAGGGGCCTGGCCGAAGCGCAGTGCTGAGGGCAGATTTCCTGTGCTCAGTGGCAGCGGGTCAGCTTCTGATGGCAGAGCCCCATCCATTCACCATCAGGTGTCTGTCTTGAATGCCCTATTATCTTTCCTGGGACTGTGGAGAAGCCACATGCATTCGCTATTCAGGCTCCAGTGGGGAAGCTTTCCCATCTTTGCTTGCCTGGCTCCTGCTACTAGGCCAGGGGCCTCTGTCCTCCACATACTCCGGTTTCTCCCTGCAGTGTCTTCTTTTACTTTTAGCCAAACATTTTGCCTGTTTTCTCTCTTGATGTGTGATAGTTGGTGTGAGGTTGAAATTCCTGGTTCCTGGAGGACAACCTGCTTGTGATAGTCAGTCTCCCTTGGCACCAGCTTCACAGAACATGCGACTCCTGTACCACAGTCCAGTCTGTCTTAGAAGCAGGGACACCAGGGACAAGGAGCTATATGGACCAAAAGTGGGGGTAGAGGGCCCGGATTAGGTAGCTCTGGCCCAGACATGAATACCTCGGTGTTCCCTGTTGGTTGCTGTTGTACCAGCTGTCTTAGCTTTGTGTGTATTGATTTGTTTCTGAGCATCCAGGCTCTGCACCCTCGTTTATAATAAATGGGAAAATTTGGACCCACTTCCCCTTTCTTCAGAGCCTGGGCTGCCAGCCTAGGCTGCACAGCAAATACTATTTCTATCTATCTCTTGAACTTGTTTCTTCCCTACCTTAATTAGCCTAACAGGTGTGATTATCCTACTAAGAAAGCAAGAGACTGTGCCTTGTCCCTAGGGCCTGAGTATGGCCAGAGGCCCAGGCTGCAAAGAAATTGGAGGCTACAAGTACTGGTCAGTGCTGTGGGGGTCTTTATTTGCCATAGTTTCTTTCCTGGCTTACTGCCCAGGTGAGGCCAGGAAGAGTCCATACAGTATAGCTATTGCCAGAGTCAGGAAGGTCAGGAGGCCCAGTGGGGCCAGCAGCCCCTCCTGTGATGGAACTTCTGGGACCTTTGCTGGAGGAGAATCCCTGGGTGGCCTGCTCCTGCCGTGGCTGGGACTTACGTTGGCTGTGGCAGCATAAGGCCTCAGGTTGGTCTTTCCAGCAGTGGCTACAATACCATACATGGGCTTGATGGTGCTAAAGGGCCGGGCATGTTTGTCTATCCACTGTAACAGGGCCCGTGGCTTCCACTGACAGATGCTAAGCAGGGCTAGAACGTCGCCTTCAGCAGTGTGTGAGTCCATCGGTGCTTGCCCATAAAGGCGGCTGTAGATGTTGCCCAGGCTGTAGCTTTTCCTTGGCCCATGCCCTGAGGGGCTGCTGTCTTGTTCCAGGGCCTTTAGGGCAGCGATGCTATCCACACAAAAGGTACCATCTAGAGGGCTGGTAGTGCTCAGCCCAGCAAGCTCTGCCTGGAGGAGGGGGAAGTCGTAGCGGTCGCCATTGTGGGCTACAAGGCAGCAGGGCTGTGGCTGGCGCTGCAGGAAGGCTCGGAGCAGGCTGGCTAAGTTGTCATCGAAGCATTGACGCCCGTATTCTTCCAGCTCAGCTGTGCTCAGACCTGTGATCTCGCTGGCCCCAGGGCTACAGGCTTTCCCTGGAGCAATGCATAGAGAGAGCTTGTCCACCACGCGGGGTGGTTTGGGTATGGGAGGTGGCTGGCCCCTAGAGACGGAGGTGTTCTCCAGGGCATATCTGTGGACAGCCAGCAGGCACAGCTCTGTGATTTTGGGCTGAGACAAAGGCAGGCCAGTGGCTTCCAGATCCAGGAAGATGATGGTCTGCATGGGACCATGGGGCAGCGCCTGGGAGCCCATGCTGAGCCTGGGGAGGAGCATGGGGTAATGAGTGGTCGCAGAGAAGTGTGAAGTGGGCCAGGGTAGGGTTGGCTGTGGGCAGAGATACAGTTGAGCCCTTCCCTTGAGTTAGGCACTACCCAGGGCCCATTTTCAGAGGGAGAATCTGGATGTAGGGCTGTCTTCCTTGTGGGATGGGCACACTACTCTCCTTTTGAGGGAGGGAGGCCCTTCCCCTAGTCCTGACCACCCTTGGTGAGGGAAACCTTTTCTGCCTTACCCCAAAACCTTAAGGTCCACACTTACCGAGAAGCAGGCAACAAGGCAGTCTGCTGGTTCTGCTGCTGGCAACAGTGGCTCAGGAAGTGAAACTGACTGGGTCCACCCATAGGCCTGCCTCCTGACCATGGCCCGCCCTGCCTGTCAGCCTGCCAGTCCTGGCCCTCATCTGCTAAAGCCACTCCCTCCCTCTCCAAGCACCCCAAAGGCCTTCCTAGAGTCACAGCTGTGATCCTGCTGGCTGATAAAGTGTACTAGTGCTCCCACTCTGGCTCACACTTAAACTGGGTTGTCTCCCAGATTCAAACATGCCTGTGAGTCTCTGCCATGACTTTCCTTGCCTTTCTCCCAGTCCTTGAATCACTATCTAAGGCCTTCCTGGGAAAGGGCTGCCTCCTCTGCCCCAGCCCAAAGCTATGACTCAGGTTAATTCCTGGAAGAGGGCAGGGTTTTTCCTCAAGGCAGATCAGTTACCACAGGGACCATCTCACTCCGGCAGGGGAGGTGAGGGGAGTCACCTAATCAAGCTAGTTCCTGGTCTGCTCTGTCCCTCCCTCTCAGCCACACAAATTGGACTCAGGAAACAAAGCTCGTGTTCTCAGCAGGAGCTGCAGTTTTAATCAGTAGAAATGGCAGACAGCATTGGGAGCTGGTGCCACCTTGTGGCGGGATGTTCCGGCCCTCAGCTACAGTCCATTTCAGAGTCTTCCAAATCTGTCTCCGAAGCACAGAGGTCATCCAGGGCTGCCTCTGTGCCAAAAGGAAGAGGGTTCTGAGGTTAACCTGACAGACCGGGGCCAGGAGGTCTACCCATCCTTTGCTAGCATCACAGGAACTAACCAGTCCCTTCCACGCTTTGCTCCCTCGGCTGCTGTGAGCAAAAGTGATACAAAAGCAGATCTTTCTAGAAAAACCATGGCTCAGCTAGGCCAATTCAATAGCCACGATCAAAGGGCAACCTAGCATACTCAAAGAACCAGAGCAGGAAGTAATGTCTGCAGTGCCAGGAATGGCTCTGGTGGCAGGCGCAACCCACTGAAGTCCGGCAAAGGAGTCTATCTTCATGAGCCTCAGAGAGGCATAGGCATGCAGACCAGAACAGGCTTACCTTCACAGTCGGTCACATCAGGAAGGGCTCGAATCAGCATGCTGACTCCTGGCATCACCTGGTCGTACTGATGCAGGACCTCAACACAATGCACAGTGAAGAGCTTGTCCTTCTGAGATAGGCTGTGCAGCAGCAGCACAGTGTCCCTCAGACAGCGCACTGTCTGCTTCTGCTGGTGGGTCCTCTGACCCCCTGCCCGCCGCACAGTCAGCCATTGTCTGTGTAACATCACAGTGAGCGCTCTGACTGCCTGGGGTAAGAGAGTGCACAGAATGAGGCCTAGCCACTTCAAAGAAGCAGGACTGCACTTACCCAACTGAGCTAGCATGTTGTTGGCCCCTGGCCACTTACCTACCTCTATGTTACACTGGCAGTCAGAACCAATGCCACGGGGGGAAGGGCTCTGCACACTCAGCTTGGCCAGGAGCCATACTACCTGGAACAAGAAGAGATGGGACTCATCCCTTGCAGGCCACCTGTCACAAGGGCTCTTGTGGGCATTTCTAAGGAGCCCTAGCTACTTCCACAACTCCTTGCTGCACTAGTGGGCTCTGAGAAATGGTGCCCTAAATCTGACCAACAGCTATGTCTTCCAGGATCAGGCTCCAAAACCCAGGCAGCATTACCGGGCAACTCTGCTGAGCACCACTGTAACTCAGAGTGCATCTGTGTGAGGAACCCCTAATTTTACCTGTTGCTATTTGACAAACTAAAATGAATTTAGCTCCCATTTTCCCACAGGAGGCAAGGAGACTCTGGGCTCTTTAGGAAGGAGTGGAGGGTGAGCAGTGTCTCAAGTCTTACCTCTTGTTCCAGCTGAAGCCACTGTGTCTCTGAGGCCACTTTGTCAGGCCTTGATGTAATGTACATGTACAGCCTCGGGAGAAGGCAGCCTTCTGAAAAGGATGCCCAGCCTCACTCAGGGGCCCCTTTTCACTGTAGCCCCTGCCCTAGTCCCTCTCTCCCACTATAGGATGGCCAAGACCCAGCTTGCCTTGCTTTACCTGAGTGGGAGCACAGATGCTGTGTGAGGCTGTCATGGTCCACCAGAACGGAGAGCAACTTAACAGCCAGTAGCACACAAGGCAGTGGCAGCTCTGAGCTCAGGCACTGTGGCAACATTGGCAGTACACAGGAGAACCTGAAGGATGGGCACAGTTATGACTGTACAAAAGGACACTTAATGCAGGGACACGTGGGTTCAAATGCTGGCCTGATCGTAGCCTGCTTACTTCAAGATTCACAAATAGGCAGGTACTAACCCTTACTACAGGGCTGCTGTGACTTAAAGTGACAGGCCTTCAGCAGGGGTGGGGTGGGAAGCACTTGGGAAGCAGAGGCAGGACCCACCACACAATGAGTTGGAGATGAGCCTGGGCTATATGCAACCAAGTCTCACCACGTCACAACCCCTCCTTCACCCTAAAAAAAGAATATAGGTGCTTATGTGGCTCTATCATCAAGTAAATGGGACCAGACTCCCTGGATCTGGACTGCATGACACCCCCAGGTTCCTTCCTGTGTCTTCTCTCAAACGGGACCAAGTCCATACCTTCAGCATGGGAAATGTTCCTTGTCTGTTTAATACCAGAGGACTGCTGAGGGCTCTAAAAGTGACAAGCATGGATGTGGCTACCGCTTTCTTGTGGGGCAATTCACAGAGCAAGGAACACCATTTTTCTCGCTTGTCGGAAAACTCTGTTACCGTCTGAAAGGGACCTATGAGGTGTGTGTGTGTGTGTGTGGTAGGGGGAGAGAATATGAATGATATTTCCCCCTTAGGTCTGAGACAAAGGGACAAGTAGAGCCATGGAACCAGGTCCCAAGGGACCTGCTCTACATTACCCATAGCAGCATGAGGGAGAACTGGTGGGTGGGAGAGTGGCCATGAGCTGGTCTACATGTACCAATTTGTACACATCTGGCATCTCAGCACAGAGCATGAGGGTAGAGACTACCCAGCACTGTGTCATCAGAAAGTAAATGCTCACATTTGGGATAAACTTATTTTATAGCATTTTAAGGAAATGATTTAAATGTGCATTGGTGTTTTACCTGCATTTATATCTTTAGGAGGATATCTGATAACCCTGAAACTGGAGTTAGAGTTGTGAGCTGCCATGCGGGTGTTGGGAATTGAACCCAATTCAGAAGAACAACTAGTACTCTTAACCACTGAGCCATCTCTCCAGCCCTCATTTTATAGCACATTCTACAAATAGGCAAGAAGTTGGGCATTCTTTAGTTGCCAGGTACTGTGGATATCTGAGAAAACAGTTTAATTTGGTTGCTCTCTAGCCTAACTAGTCCTATCTACCCACTATGGCCCTTGAACATAGCTGGAAAGACTCGACCTTTGGTTTCCAAGTTACTTTTTTTTATACCCGTAAGGTCTTCTTTACAACGAAATGCTATGCCAGTCATGTGCGTGCACACCTATAATAATCCCAGGACTTGGGAAGCAGAAGCAGCTGGATCTCTAAGTTCTAGGCCAGACTAGTCTACACACAGCAAGTTCCAGGCAAGGTAGGAATATGTAGTGAGACCTTGTCTCAGAAAGGAAAAAAAAGTTACACATAGCACCAGTGTACAAAAGTACAGCAATCATGCTCTCTGCTTATGGGCAATTTGTTTTCAAGCCTTGGGGCAATGACAGTGAACAGAGACTGTGGGCTTTCTGGCTACTTATATCCTACTTTACAGCCCTGATAGCATCCGCCCTGGCTTTCACCTGAAGGTAAAGAGGAAATTGTGCAGTTCATCTTGAGCACATGAGTATGATAAAAACTACAGAGAAGTATTTTGAAAGCAATGGGCAATGGCTTATCACAATAACTGGCTTGGAACTGTCCTAACATGTTTGCATTTTTAGACAAGTTTTCCTGCTTCAGTATAGGGTTTGTTTAACAAATACTGACTGAGCATTTAGCCTGGGCCAGGCTCTGTGTGAAGCAGAGTGCAGCGTCAGGAGTGTCACCTGTGCCAGCAACTAAAGCACCTGGCTAAGTAGAAGATCCCATTAGATAGTGAGTTCTCACTAGCCTGTGAGTCCACAGAACAGAGGGAAAATGTGTGGTTTCTGGGATTCATTCAGTAAGCACATAAGAAATAAGCAACTAGCCAGTCTAAGTTGGGCCTGTATTCAATTTCATATATCACTGGCTAGAAAATACCAGCTGGAAAACATGATCCAGAAGTACTTCAAAGACAAAGGAATATAGAGTTCAAAGACTTGTTTTTTTGAGACAGGGTTTAGTGTGTAGTTCTGGCTGGTCTCAAACTCAGATCTGCCTATCTCTGCTTCCCAAGTGCTAGGTTAGAGGCGTGAGTCATGCTGCCTGGCAGGGATGAAACATGAGCTGCACCTGGGCAGTGTTATTATTTTAACATAGGTACTGGACTCTCTCGTCATTTGATTTTTCTAGACAGGGTTTTTCTGTGTAGCCTTGGCTGCCTGGAACTTGCTCTGTAGACCAGGCTGGCCTTGAACTCATGAGATCTACCTGCCTCTGCCTCCTGAGTGCTAGGGTTAAAAGTGTGCACCACCACCCATCAGGATTGGCCTCTTACATGCATGCTTTGAGAGAAACAAATGGAGAGATGGATAGAGGGCAGGCTGGGCACTGTTTGTAATTATCCCTTACTCTTGATGTTCTCAACTCCCAAGTTAAGAACTTAGAATTTTTTTAAGATTATTCACTTATTGACTTATTCTACTTTATGAGTGTTTTATACATGCATGCCTGCTAGATTTCCTGGAACAGGGGTGACATGGTGAGCTACCATGTGGCTACTGGGAATTGAATTTGAGTCTTCTACAAAAAAAACAAGAGTTCTTAATTGCTGGGCCACCACTCCAGCACCTCAAGTTAGTAATTTACAGCAACAGTGGTTTTTAAGAAGCAAATGACCTGTGACTCATAATAGATGCCAACACAGATGCGTATGGTAGTGCACGCCTTTAATCCCAGCACTTGGGAGGTAGAGGCAGGTGGATCTCTGTGAGTTCGAGGCTAGCCTGGTCTACAGAGTGAGTTCCAGGGCAGCGAGGGCTATTATGTAAAGAAACCTTGTCTTGGAGGAGGGGGAAAAAAAAGAGACAAAGTTGACAGACTGCAGCAAGGTCAGCTCATGGCTGCGGACAGTCCTGATCCTCTCTGCTTCCTTACAGAACGCTACCTCATTTAAACATGTTGTGCCACATTTCTTCACCTGATCCACATCTCTGATTCAAAAGGCCTCTTAACTCAGCTTTCTCCAAGGACAGGACACTCTTCCACAGTGGCTCGTTAAAGCCTTATTACATGTGCCTTTGCTTACCTGTCCCTTTTCCCATCACTTCAGAACTCCCTGAACCAAGCCATAGCTGAGAAGTAGGATTAAGGTAAGAGATGAACAAAAGTGCAAGAGTCACAGGTTAGACCTCAAGAGATCAGGGCAGACCCATTGGGAATCATGTCTCCTGTGAGTCTTTATACCTGGGCAAGAAATCAGAGGAAGCATTTTCAGCTAATTTCACCAAAACTTTGAGGCACTGGCTCAGGACACTGGCTTGAAAATGACCTGATGTTGCAGAAGAGAAAGCCACCAGCTGAAGAAGCATCTTCAATAGTGGATGCTGTTTTTGGTCATGAGCATCCCTCCTGGAGGCTGAGATCGTATCTGCACAAGGTTGAAGTAGGTTTCCTTCCCTGGCAGCATCATCTGTCTCCATGCCTGACAGTAACAAACAGACGACTGCCTCACTGTGGCATACCAGGTGCTGAAGGATGCTAAGCGAAGCCACAGAGAAGCTCTCCAGGCTATAAATGGAGTCCTCTGGGCTGGCCTCTACCCCAGAGCTCACACAGGAGGGATGTGTCGGAGAGTCCCCAGATGCCCCACTCTTCTTAGCTGGGGCTAAGTCTTGCAGAGCCTGGCAGTGTAAGCCGATGAAAAACTGCACAAGTGGGAGGAGGTGCACAGCTCCAGGAAGCTGGCAGAGCGGGAAGGCTCTTCTGCTTCCCTTTGGTAGGTCTCCATCATGTGGGCACTCACTCCTGGCAACCAGATTTAATCCAGTGAATGCTAAAGTCTGTGCTTCTTTCAGGGCAGAGGGGGAAAATGACCCATCCTGAGAACTGACAGTTCTGAGGCCTGAAATCCCAGCCAAGTTACTAGAAACGAAAGAAAACAGATTAGGTCATCAGGAATCCCAAATCGCCTATCTGCCAACTTCTCTATCCTCCCCAAACAAGAACTCTCACATGTTGGCCAGACCCAGAAAGGCATGCACTCTGTGAAAACTCCTCCCAAGTGCCCCTCAGGGGACTCATGCTTACCTGAGCCCCGGCTGCTGCAAGAGGGTGCCAGAAGGAACCTCAGAACAACTGCTCAGAAGGTGACAAAGACCTAGCGATGACCCTGGGACTAAAGGTTGCTTCAGGAGCAAGTTTATCAAAATAGAACCTGCAAATGACAAGGTGACTCTAGAATGTTCTGATACGGAAGAGTTCTTCCTCCCTGCCTTCATTTTTTGAAGACAAGGTCTCACTGTTGCCTCTCTGCCTTGAGTTCATGATCCTCCTGCCGCAGCCTCTAAGGTGCTAGGATTATAAGCTTGATACTGGAGACCTTTTCTATGGCCTCAGGGGGAAGAGATAAGCAACCTTTAAACTCACATCCTGTAAGCTAGTAAACTCTTATGATGCTTATGGGGGCAGAAGGTTCTGTAACATACCTGTTCTTAGCCTTAAAAAAAAAAAAAAAACCTTTTATCTATCTTTCAATCAATCTATCTATCACCTGCCTGCCTGCCTGCCTTTCTATCCTCCAGCTCTGGCTCTGGACTATTGGGATTAAAGATATGCACTACCACACCTAACTAAAATTATCTTTGTTTACGGGCATGGGGGATGTGTACCACAGTGCACATGTGGAGATAAGAAAACAACTTTTGGGAATTGGTTCCCTCCTTTGACCATGTGGGTTCCAGTGACTGAACTCAGGTTGTCAGGCTTGGTGACAGCCACCTTCACCAACTAAGCTATCTCACCACACTGTTTGGTTTTTCTTTTTAAGTCATAGACTCCTATGTGCTCAAACACTCTAAATGATGCCTAGGATAGGGTTCCCAGACAATTCCCCTAGACAACTCTGTGTAGCACAGAAGAAAACAGGAGCCATGCAGGCTCCTACAGAAAAGCAGGTATTCTGGTACCTTGAGTGTTTGATCTCTGCAACCAGCTGTCGGTAAGAATTTTCTCCTGCACTTCTTGCTTCATGGGGTTACCTCTCAGACTGTGGGTTTTATTCTCTGAAACTAGAAAAAAAATGTGATTCAAAAGCTGAACATAAAAGAACAGGTGTTTTAGAAACTCTACACATAATATTTAAAAGACTCAACAATCCCTTCTTTAAACTCAGTCAAAACCAGAGCCAAAGTATCTCCAGATGCTTAGAAAGAAATGTTTTCCTCTCTTAAAATGAAGCACTATGGTGAAAATAGCAATAACTAACTTTACATGTATGCGCTGTTTGTTTCATAGAGCAACGCTATGATTAAAGGCCATAATTAGCTGTTTCATATATAAAGAAACTGAAGCACAGATGTAATGTGCTTGCCCAGATCACAGACGCTGCTAAGTAGTGTGGTTGGAACTTATATCCAGGTTGCTGAGCTCTGCCTGCTTGTAACCTACAGTGCAGTGCCCCATTAGTTGGGGTCACCAAAAAATGTGGCTGCAGTTTCTCAGGAGAGCAGTGGCAGTGATTTAAAAGGCTGACGGTGGGAAGCGAGGCAATATGTCTAACTATAAAGTGGCACAGCAGAGTCTCCGAGGTACTTTAAATGACTCTCCAGCCTCAGTAAGGTCTCTATGTGCCAAACTGTTGATGCGCAGAAACTGGGAAAAAGAAAGTAAATGTTGTTTAGGCCACTAGTTGGGGCAGTCCATTATACAGCAATCAATTCATAAGCTTGACTTACCCTCAGTCTGGCAGGGGTGGGAGAGTGGCATATTAGCACTAAAGGACTCCTTTGTAGGGAAAGTTGTTTTTCCAGTCTGTGGAGAACATACTTCTGACTTTATGGCCACAGAAGAACCTTTCCTAGGACTGGAAAGAGTTTTAACTATGAGCAAAGTTATGACTGTGTTAAAACCTCTGAAAATACCTGGTTATTAAATTTCTCCTGAATAGACATTTTGACTAACGGTTTCATCTATTATGGATATGTTGGTCTTTGTCAAAGATTATTTTCATAATCTCTTAGGCATCCAAAAATACTGGCTGTTGGTCCTTACTACTTCCAATTCTACCAAAAAAAAAAAAAAAAAAAAAAAAAAAAAAAAAAAAAGTTTAAAATGTTGAACACCCGATTTTTAATAACCAGTGCCTAGGTCCAAAATTTTTTTTTAAATATTTATTATTTCAACAGTATTCTTTCTGCATGTATGCCTACATGCCGGAAGAGGGCGCCAAATCGCATTATAGATGGTTATGTGCCACCATGTGGTTGCTGGGAATTGAACTCAGGACCTTTGGAAGAACAACCAGTGCTTTTAACCTCTGAGCCACCCCTGCAGCACTCCCCCCCCACCCAAAAAAAAAAAAAAAACTAAACTAAAAAGAGGCTATCACATGGCTGGAGACAGCTCAGCATGGACAGGGAACACTGCTCTTGTGGAAGACCTAAGTTCAGTTCCCAGTGGCCTTGGCAGGCAGCTCAGAAGCATATGTAACTGCAGCTCTAGGGAATCCAATGCCCTCTTCTGGCCTCTATAGGTACTTGCATTCACAAATGCATACCTGTACATAAAACATACACAAATGTACACAAAAAAAAGAATCTTTAAAACAAAGAGAGAGGGTCTATCAGAAAGTGTCCTGAAAACTGAGTAAGTTCCTCGGCACTGACTGTGCAGCACCCGGGCCTTCTTCCTAACTGCAGGGTAAAGAGGTGAAGACAGACTTCCTCATTTCTCCTGTCTTATCTGAAGCAAGGCAAGGAAAGTTCAATTTCACACTCTGCCCAACACAAGCAAAGGAAAGAGAATGTTGCATACCAGAAAGAGTTCAAATTTCAAGGCTGAAACTGACACATGACAGAATGTTTTGGGAGGCAGAGGGCAGGACACAGATCATTAACAAGCTGAGCACATCTGGTAGCAAAGATGGGGCTGTAAGACAAAGGTCCCAGATAGCAAATGAGCAAAAATATTTTAAGTAGCCAGGACTGAAACACACTCATGCTTGGGGAGAGGAGACGGGAGAAGGCAATGTTAGCTAAACAAATTACATAAAAACAAAGCCTCGTTTCTTTTCAAAATTTGAAGGAAGGCCTGCCCTGAATGTGGATAGTACCACACCATACACTGGGGTCCAGGAGTGAATAAAAAGGGTTACGTGAGGAAACTGGCTGAGTGCCAGCATCCTCTCTCCAGGCTTCCCAATCCACTCAGCTGTGCAGTCCTGCTGCCATGCCTTCCCCAATGCGATCGCCTGCACTCCTGCACTGTGAGCCAAGTAAACATTTCTTTCCTTAAAAAATTGGAGATTCTCTACCCAGCTTTTTCTAGTCTGAAGGAACTGTGTTAATAATGCCCCATTCAGAGTAGTCACTTGTAGAGTGAACATTTATGCTGTAATGACTCACACCACTTATTCCCCTTCAGGAAGGAGGGCCTCAGAAAAGTACCCTTTGTTCAAAACAATCCAGATCCGTCTCATGCGTTCTGCTAAACAATGGCAAACTAAACTTCCGCCAGCGCCCTCCGTACCTGACGTGGGAAGAAGAGAGAGCAGCTAGTTTATTTGTTCGTTCATTGCTCTGAAGCTTTGTCCTTAATTCATTCATTTCTGCATCTTTAAACTGGAGTTCTGACTGCAGTGACTGGAGCTGAAAGGCCAAAGAAAGGTATCTGTGGTAGCACCATGATATATATACACACAAATATATGCATGTTGGCACATGCCTTTAGTCCCAGCACGCAGGAGGCAGAGGCAGGGGTAGTGAATCTCTGGGAGTTTGGGACCAACCTGATCTCCATATTGAGTTCTGAGGCAGCCAGGGTTACATAGTGAGTCTGTCTCAAAAATAAATAAATAAAATAAAATAATTTGATAATAAACCCCTTAGCTTCAAAACCTCAAGCTAGTAAAGGAAAACAATGAAAAATATATTATCAAAGTCTGCTGTGATATAAATGTCCTCAAATATTAGCCTTTTTTTCCCTTGAAAAATACTATAGAAAGATTTATCAGAATTTATTGTGGAAGCACTTTGAGGGTTCAAAAACCAGCCCCATCACTTGTTTAGTCACATTGACTCATTCTTGGCTGGGACTGAGGATTAAGTGAAATGGTGATTGGAGAGCACTCGGCACGGAGCTGGTGAGACGCCCACTAACATCCTTTGTTGTCATACCCCTCTCCCATGCTCTGCCCCAGACTGCTGTCAAATTTAGTCCTCTTCAGCTTCCACAGGACTTGGCTGCTCATCTGTTAATTAACTTTAGTACAGAATTCTAGGTCGTCTGAGCAGAATATCTGGGAGTTTTACCAAAATCTGTATGTATGTGTGTGATTAGATCTGTATGTTTGTGTGCCATGAAACTAGAAAGAGGGTCACAGGAGGGAGAAGAGCCGTAAGCAACTTAGGAAAGCAGAAGGAGGAAGTGGAACCTAGCTCAGATGCAAGGGGCCTCATCTAGTCTGCACCGTAGGTTTAAACCTTAGGGCTGAATAACAGGGTGAGGCAGTGCCTGCAGTCCAGGAGGCAGTCTGCACTCAGGAGGCAGAAGCAGGGTTCAAAAGTTTAAGGGCATCCTTGGCTACAAAGTGACTTTAAGGCCAGCTTGGGCTACATTACCAGAACAGAATAAAAGTAATGTTTGGGCATCCTAACAATCTTTTTTGATGTGGTGGGTACAAGTATTTGTGCATATAGAATTTGCTGAAAGAGGTAATATAAGCAGACACTACTCTAATTATTGCCCACTTCACTGTGGTGGGAATGCATATCCGTGACTGAAGCATCAAGATGTTCTAAGGGAAAGTGCTGGCAGATAGTGGATATCTACCATTTTTCATTGAACGTGATCTCCTTTCCTATCTGGGACTGTGATTTAACAATAGTTATCATCTCTTGGTTTCAGAACTGGTCTGGAAACAGGTACCTTAACTAATACCAGTCAGCACCTTCTTTAAAAATTTTAAGTTTGAAATGAGAGAACTTCAGTCTTTTTTTTTTTTTTTTTTTTCCTTCTTTCATTTGGTTTTTTGAAACAGGGTCTCACTATATATTCCAGGCTGGCTTTGGACTTATAGTAACCCCACCCTCCCAAGTACTAGCATTACAAACAATAGTATTTACCATGCCCAACTGAGGAAGCCCAAGTCTTAACTGTGCTCTGGAGTTTTGAAATATAAGCCTGGGAGCTGCAGTCAGAACACACTGCGGACAGAACAGCAGGTCTCATAACAAACCTGGCTTAAATCATCTGCATCCCTAGTACTTCTCTGTCTTCCTAGACTTGGATGTGGCAGATAACATGTTTCCTTCTGACTAAGCCAAGGCAAGTGAATTCTAATCTACCAAAGAGCCTTAACTCAAGCTTATTTGTAGAAATTCTAAGCTAGTGATTTATTCCTGCCAAGACTAACAATCACAGCAAAGCAGAATTTCATCTTAGTCCTTTTTCAAAACAAATGCAGTCCTTGGAAGAAAGGTACATGCCATTCAATAAGGGCAAAGAGTACTTAAGACAAACAATGGTTGACTATTTCCAGGCAATAGTGGTTATTGCTTCTATTTTGTTTATTTCTTAGAGACAGTGTTGGGAGCTGGAGAGATGGTTCAGTGGTTAAGAGCTGCTCTTCCAGAGGTCCTGAGTTCAATTCTCAGCAACCACATGGTAGCTCACAACCATCTATAATGTGATCTGATGCCCTGTTCTAGCATGCAGGTGTACATGCAGATAGAGCACTCATATACATTAACTAAATAAATAAATATTAAAAAAAAAAAAAAAAAAAAAGAAAGAAAGGTGGCCAGAAAGATGGCTCAGTGGTTAAGAGCACTGTCTGCTCTTCCAGAAGTTCTGAGTTCAATTCCCAGCAACCACATGGTGGCTCACAACCATCTATACTGGGATCTGATGCCCTCTTCTGGTATGCAGGGGTACATGAAGACAGAGCTCTCATATACATAACATAAATAAATTTAAAAAAAAAAGAGAGAGTGTTTCACTGTGTAGCCTTTAGTGGTCTGGAATTCCCTATGTAGTCCAGGCTGGCCTAAAGCTCACAGAAATCCACCTGCTTCTACCTCCCAAGATTAAAGGCTCAGCCTTGGTTATTACTGCTAAGGTAATTAATTGAATAGGCAAAACTACTGTCTATAGCATACAAAACAAATATTGTGGGTCACCTTTTTGGAGAACTCCTTTTCTTTTTCACTGAGTGCTTGAGTCTTCTCTTGCTCAAGAAGGAAATGTGATCTCCTCTGTTCTTCTAGAACGGATTCTGTCTGATGCAGTGAGTCACGCAAAATTTTAATTTCTCCATTCTTAATTAGGACTTCTTCTTCCATTGCTTTCAGCTGTAAATTATGCCCAACCAGTGAATATTCAGCAAGAACAGTTTCAGAATGCACTTGCCACAGATTCTTTCAGCATTGATTTAACACTATGGGTCACATACTCCACAAACTAAAATTCCATGTTATATTCCTGGTTTCTTAGGCACCTACAGATGCTGTATGAAAGACATCTAATTGATTGAAAAACTAATGAAATACCAACACTATGATGATGTGTTCTACACATAAAGATATAGGCTGTGTAAGCTGGAGAGATGGCTTAGCAGCCAAAAGCACTTACTGCTCTTACAGAGGACCCAGGGTCATTCCCAATACCCGTATCAGGTGGCTCACAACCAGTTGTAACTCTGGTTACAAAGGATCCTATGCCCCCTGTCCTTCACGGGCACCTGCATGCAGGTGGTGGACATAAACTCACACAGGCTCACATACACACAAGCAAATAAAAGTTCAGCCATTCTTTACCTAACCTTCTTTCATTTCAGGGGGATGAATCTAGATGCTTGTTTTAAAACTTTTAGGGGCTGGAGAGATGGCTCAGAGGTTAAGGCACTATCTGCTCTTCCAGAGGTCCTGAGCTCAATTCCCAGCAACCACATGGTGGCTCACAACCATCTATAATGAGGTCTGGTGCCCTCTTCTGGCACTCAGGTGTACATGCAGGCAGAACACTGTATACATAATATAATAAATAAAAAGAAAAAAAACCTTTTATATATGTTACACAATGCTTTTTTACACAATACCTAAGTGAATGAGTTAGCTATGAACACAAGTTAGGGCTGGAAGAAGAGCTTAGCAGTACAGTGTCTATGTACAGCATCTGTGAAAGTAAAATCCTGGGTTCAGTTTGCAACAGCAGAACCAAATAGGCAAAAAGAAAAGAAAACCCAAAGTGACATACCTTTTCTTTAAGTTCTTTGTATTGTATCTGAAGTAGTTCTAATTCAAAATTATCTTTAACTGGAGAATTTTCTCTGTTTTTCCTTATAGAACTATTTGATAACCCATCTAATCGGCGGATCTTATGAGCACCTGTACAAAAAATTAGTTCCCATTAAGTTGAACATGGTAGCACAGAACTGTAATCCCAGTACTTAGGAGGCTAAGTCAGGGGGATCTCAAATTTAAGGCTAGCCTACTTATAGAGCAAGAACCTGTCTGGGAAAAACAAAAAACAAAACAAAACAAACAAACAAACAAAAAACATATATACTTCAGGACTCAGTATGTACCTACCTTTGTCATAAATACTTTTTTTTTATTTTTTTTTAAATTTTATTTTACATGCACCAGTGTGAAGGTATCAGATCCCTTGGAATTTGTGTTATAGACAATTCAGTTGTGAGCTGCCATATGGGTGCTGGGAATTGAACCCGGTCCTTTGGAAGAGCAAGACAGTAACCCCTGAGCAATCTAATCTCTCCAGCCCCTGCCATAAGTATTTTAATGCAAAAGGAAGCACTCTTGAAAGCCAAGGTGAGAAAGACCCAGTAACCAATTTTTTATCATTACTTTCCAATCTCAGAACATGACATAAACTCATAAAGAATCCTTACGGGATCTGAACACTCTCTCTTTATACACCCAATTTCAAGAGTCTCCGCTAATGCCTGAAAGGAGATTTCACTGGTTGTGACTATGACCTAGCATAAATATTATTTACTGCAATATGGTAGGCATAGGATCTTCTTGTCTTTAAAGACCAATGGTGAACAACATGGATACATTCCATGGGGGAGGGGGACTCCAGGATTTAGGTAAAGAGGAGGAGCGGAGTGCCCAACCACAGCCAAATAAAACATCTGGTCGAGTGTTTTCTAATGCCTGGAGAGATGGAGGACCACATCCAGGAATAATCCTATTTTTTCAGCTGCTTTACATGCTAAGTACGGATGCAAGGTGTCCATCAAACCCTTCTGACAGTTCATAACACTTCACTTATTCCCTGAGTAGATTGTAAATTCTAGGAAGGAACGAAGCTTTGGTATTTCTTCCCACTGCCTGTGGCTGTTGCCGTTCCTAATCTGTGGGCAGCTAGCATAGATTGTTGGTAGCGTAAGACACGTTATCTTTCGCCTCTCTGAGACGTTTTCTATGTTCATTCTGCCCGAGGGTTCCGGTGGGCTGCATGACATCTAAATCCGCTCACATGGGTTGTGCCGGTCCCGAGGTTCCTCACGTTTCAAGGAAAATAAATAATAGTCTGGCTGTCTATGGACAAATCTGGATATGTAAGGCCTTTTTGACATCCTGGATGTTTTACTACCAATTCAAAGGACCTTTAGAAACAGAACCTCGCTGAGATCGGGGTGTGCTTTCGTTTTAAAGAGGGAAAGGAAAACGCCGGTGCAAGAGGCCCGGGCCCAGGCCACCGTGCTGAAGAGGCGTGCACATCCGCCGGGGGCGAGGCCCCAAGGCACTCACTGGACAGGTCCTGAGGGGCGGCCGGACACTGGCTCAGGGCCTGTGACGCGAGGATGTCGAGTTCCTCCAGGTCGTCCGCAGTAAAGTCCGCGTGCGCGCCGAAGGGGTCTTCGGGGTCAGGGTCCGCGGTCTCAGAGAAGCCCCGGGCCCGCTTACTCGGGGGGTTCTCGAGGGCCCGCGACAGACCAGGGAGAGGCGCCGGGCCGTCGCTTTGCTTCCTGTGGTGGCTCGCTGCGGGGGTCCCGGCCATGACTTCCTTCCCCCCGCAGCATCCGAGGACGCCGAGCACAACCTTGTCCGCAGGAAGCCCGGGCTGGCCCAACCGCCCGCGCGCCGCGGCGCCCCCTCAGCGACCAGCGGCGCCCTCGCCTGCGCGCCAATCAGCGGCCGGCTGGCGGGCACGGGGGGATGACGTCTGCAGAGCGCGCCGTCGCGCGGGACAGGCTCCTGCCTGCCTTGGCTCAGCACCCGTCGGTCCCCGCCGGTGCCGGGAAGCCCCGCAGTGCTCGCGGTCTTGCTTATCCCGGCTGCGGGCTCGAGGAGCGTCTGCCCGACCACACCTCTGGCACTGCAGAGGATACAGAGCCTTAGAGGGGCAGTTCGCCTTGAGTGGAGGAAGGCAGCGTGCTGGGGTTAGCTCTCTCGGAGCTCGCTCTTCGGGCCTGGCCCAGCATTGCAGAGGCTCTCCTAGGGAGGCGGTTGGCAGAGCAGACTTGGGGAGGAGAAGGGATTGCAGCCGTTCTGCTGGAAGCAGGGACCCTCCGGCATAGCGAGTGTTTCAAGTGTGTGTTTGAGAAAAGTTTGGGAAGGGTGATCTCGAGAACGGTGTGCCTGTTCGGAACCTCTCCGACTATTAACTTTCATTTATTTCTTGGAGTCTTTATGCCCCGAGCGCTGGCTATGCAAAGATGAATGAAATTTAGGAGGTCAAAGAAGGCTCCCCGGGAGTGGTCCTTGAATTGTCCAACAGGTTGAGGGGCAAGAAAAATGGGTAGGGGGCAGACGCATGATGTTACTGGGAAAAATTCAACTTCGACAAGGATGCCACATGGAAGTTACTGCGGCAGAAACAGGTAAAACTTCACGGAGGAGTAAAGATTTGAATTGGGCTTGGGTGTATTACAGGCTTTTATGAGCAGAAGTGGTAGGCAGAACAGTTAGCAGAAATAAGGGATTAGCATTGGAGAACAAGATCAAGATTTTTCTTCTCTTTCTTTCCTCTCTCTTTCTGAGACAGGGTTTCTCTGAATAGCCTTGGCTGTCCTGGACTCACTTTTGTAGACCAAGCCAGCCTTGAACTTACAGAGATCCACCTGCCTCTGCCTTCCGAGTCCTGGGATTAAAGGTGTGCGCCACTGTGCTCGTCGTAGATCAAGACTTTTCTACTCCGTTTGCTCAGTGCCAGACTTAGTTTGTGAGCCTGTTAATGTTTGCTAAGGCATTGGGTGAAAAGGAGAGTGCTCGGCCTAGAATGCCTTAGCGACCTCTTCCTCCCCCATTTTTTTTATGTATGAGTGTTTTGCTTGCATTTATGTGTGTGTACCACATGCCTGCCTGGTACATACAGAGGTCAGAAGGCATTGGCTCACTTAGAACTACCGTAATTTTTTGATTCAGCTGCTGGTAGTTTCCCTTAGCTGCCCAACATAATGTTGAATGCTTAACTTCCCAGCGCACCTCCCCCTTTTTGACATTGTCTTGAGGTGTAACCAAAGTTGGCCTGGAACTCCAAAATGTCCGTCCTCCTCTCTTGAGTGCTGGAATTAAAGACATGAACGACCATGTCCTGCTGTTTTCACTTTTTGAGTTGGCCTCAATTTTTCAATCCTCCTGTCTGTCTCCAAGTGCTAGAATTATTGGTGTGGGCTACCATGCCTGGCTGAATTCCTCAGTCTTAATAACTAATATCTCTGGTTCTGCAAAGAGACAGGACTATTCATTGTCAGGAGGGATGGGATTCCACCAAATAAAAGAGAAATACCTTCTGTTTGGGGACAGGAGGCTGTGACGGCTGACAAGTTATTTTCAGCAGCACAGGGCTGGGTGCCAGCTAACAAGGCCTAAAACCCCAAAAAGGTGCTTTGGAGATGACCAAAGAAAGCCTTTTTGTTTTTTTAATTGCTTTATGTGTTTGGGTGTTTTGCTTGAGTGTGTCTGAGGCCAGAAGAGGGCATCAGCTCCTCCAACTGGAATTAAGTGAGCCATCATGCTGGGAACTGAACCCAGGCCCTCTAGAAGAGCAGTCTGAGCCATCTCTCTAGCCCACAATGTGTTTGTTTTAAAATTGTGATTCTCCTGTACCAGCTGCCTGAGTGCTGGGATTACAGGTATAGTAGCTGGGCATGGTGTTGCAAGGCCTGTAATTCCAACTATTCAGGAAGCTTAGGCTGGAGAATCACAAGGCCTGCCTGGCCCTAAGCTCAGCCTGAGCAAAGTGAGAGCCTGTCTTGCATGAGGCACAAACCTGTAATCATAGCACGAGAGGGCTGAGGCAAGATCTAAGATCAAGGGCTGTCCAGTCTACACAGAGTTCTAGGTCAGTTTGTGCTATAGTACCTGTTTCAACTCCTTCCAAAACAAGATTATTTCTATTTCGTTTTTTTTTTTTTTTTTTTTTTAACTTGGTTAGTGGCAGATAATATCTGGCAAGAACTGCGACTTTATAGGGTATGATCAGGGAACAATCACTGTAACTTTTTCTTCCAGAACTGGGGTATTAGGTATGTGTTAGGCCGATACTCTGAGCTCCATCCAATCACTGAGCTCCATCCCTAACCCTCTTTTTACTTTTTTGTGTGACCATTACCCAGTCATACCTTCAAGATGTGATCTTCTTGGCTCATCTTCCTAAGTAGTGGATTTTCTAAAGGTTAGATAGAAGGAATCAAGTTGGTGAAGACATAGTGAAGCGGTCCTGGAGCGATGGCTCAGAGGTCAAGAGCACTGTCTATTTTCCCAGAGGTCCCGCGTTTAATGTCCAGCAACCATATGGTTGCATAACTATCTATATTGAGATCTGGTGCATTCTTCTGTTGTGCGGGCATTTAGTCAAAACACTGTATACACAATAAGTAAACCTTTTAAAAAAAAAGAAAATGGCGGGGCTGAAGAGATGGCTCAGAGGTTAAGAGCACTGACTGCTCTTCCAAAGGTCCTGAGTTCAATTCCCAGCAACCACATGGTGGCTCACAACCATCCATAATGAGATCTGGTGTCCTCTTCTGTCATGCCGAGGACATGCAGACAGAACACTGTATACATAATAAATAAATAAATCTTAAAAAAAAATAAAATGGCGAAGGGCTTGGGCTTCCTCACTACTTTGCAAGAGGGTCTTTCTCTGTGTGTGTAAAACCAACAATCTCAGAAAACACAGAGCTGGGCCTAATGGTACATGCCTTTAATCCCAACACTCAGGAAGTAGGCCTAGTCTACATAAAGTTTTGAAACAACCAGGGCTACACTGAGTGATGCAGTCTCAAAAAAATGCACCCCCATAGAAAAAAAAAAAAAAAAGTGAGGCTTGCCTTTACCTCAGACTACTGTGGCTGCAAATGGACTAAAGGGTAAATAGAAAGCAGAAGGAAAGGAATGGTCTTCAGACCCTTTAGAAATTCAGTTTTCAACCTGTGGATTGCATATCAAATAGTTACATTGCGATTCATAACAGTAGCAAACTAGTTACAAAGTAGCAATGAAAATAATTTTATAGTTGGAGGGTCACAGCGTTAGGAAGGTTGAGAGCCCCTTCTTAGAGCTGGAGTGTAAGAACTTTGGCTTTACCAGCCGGGTGCCATGACTCACACATTTAATCCCAGCACTCAAAGAGGCAGAGGCAGGTAGATCTCTTGAGTTAAGAGGCCAGCCTGATCTAGAGTGAGTCCAGGACGGCCAAGGCTACACAGAGAAACCATGTCTTGAAAAACGCTAAGCCAAGGGAGGAAAAGTATGAATTGTGGTTTAGCAAGATCAGTTTTCCCCCTTGCGTGTCAGGTATGTGAGCACACATGCAAGCCCATGTTGAAGCCTGAACTTGGGAGTCTTACTCATTGAGACAGGCCAACTGACCCGAAAGCTCACCTAGACTAGCTAGCCAGTGTGTTCCACGCTCCCTTGTCTCTGTCTGAGTTAAAGTAGTTTGTCTCTAAATACACAAACATACAGCAGCCTGGACATCATGAGAGCTAGGTGGTTTTCTTTACAAAGTATATTTCCTTTTACTAATCTCTGAAAAAGTATCCCATTAGATACACAACCACACAAGAGTGAGAGCCTTTTAAATGGGCTGGTTTAATTCAAAGTGATACAGAATTCCAAGTACAACAAAGATGAAACAGCAGGCTCTGGCCTGGGTTTTCTTTCCATTCAGAGCTGAGGTAGGAATTGCTGAACACTAGAGACAATGAGCCATTGTATTTGTTTTACTACAAAAGTTTATTACAATGTACAATAGGCTCCAGGATAACACTTCATTCTAGCTGTAGGTGGCAAAGATGTTATGGCAGGGGATCCAGATGTTTAAATAGGAATGGAAGAGGGTCACCATCATCACCTCAGACACGAGGAACAGCTTACTTTTTGCCAGATTTCTTAATTCCACCTGTGGCTGCAAAAAAGAAAAGACAGGGAAGAGAGTTATGGCTTGAAAGTCTCAGTCTTATGAATACTTGGCCTTCTGTACTGGGTATTTACTCTGACACAAACATACACAGCTCCTTTATCAATGCCACAGTTTAGACAGGGCCAAGGCAACAGCTGTGTACTTCGTGTCCCTCAGGTTAGGAATTTTCCTGCCACTGCATTCCACTTTACAGATAACTAAGTCTTGATGACTGCTGTTCCTCAAGTTATATGCGAGGAGCTGCTTTTCTCATCTGGTAGTCTGACTTTCTGTTTTTGTAGTGTCTTACTTTTTCTTTAAGGCAGAGTCTTATTAAATAGCGTAGGTGGGCTTCAAATCCGCCTTCCTTTTTTTTTTTTGGTGGGCTTTTAGTTTTGTTTTGGCTATTTTTCCCCCTTACTGGTTTTTTGTTTGTTTGTTTTTAAGACAGGGTTGCTCTGTGTAGTCCTGGCTGTCCTGGAACTCTCTCTGTAGATCAGGCTGGCCTCAAACTCAAGAGATTCACCTGCCTCTGCCTACAGAGTACTGGGGTTAAAGGTGTGCGCAGCCACCACCACCTGGCTTTCTTTTCTTTTCTTTCTTTTTTAAAGATCACAGCAATTGGTGGGAAGGAGGTAGAAAAGGTCTGGAAGGAGTTGGGGGAGGAGAAAGCACGATCAAGTGTATTGTATGACACAAAGGTTTTAGCCAGGCATGGTCGTGCATGTGATTAATCCCAGCACTAGAGAGGCAGGGGCAGGAGGACCTCTGGGAGTTTAGGCCAGGCCAATCTACATACTGGGTTCCAACACAGCCAGGACTATAATAGCAGTGGCTCTCCACCTTCCTAATGCTGTGGCCCTTTAATACAGTTCCTTGTGTTGTGGTAACCCCAACCATAAGATTTTCACTGCTATTTCATAACTGTAATTTTGCTATTGTTTTCTGATGGTCTTAGGCAATCCCCATGAAAGGGTCATTTAACCCCCAAGGGGTTGTAACCCAGAAGTTGATAACCAGAGAAACCCTGTCTCAAAAAATTCATCCTTCTGCCTCAGCCTCCCCAGGTTAGCATTACCAGCGCACACCTCCGTGCCAAGCTCTACCCAGGCAGCCTTAACTTCTAACTGCATGCCTGAGCCTGACTTTTCTTATGAGGGTTCTGGGTATCCAACTCGGGTCCTCAATGCTTACTGGGCAAGCACCTTACCAAATGAGCCGTCTCTCAAGCCCCTTGGATCAAAGTCCCTACAATAGATCTTCGGGTGACAGCATCTCCAACACTGATAACAGGCAGATATAATCACTAGTTAAAATACACACAAAGCCAGGCTGGTGGCACAGGCTCTAATCTCAGCTATCCGTGAGGTGAAGGCAGGAGAATCATAAATTCAAGGCCAGCCCGAGAAACTTAGCAAAAACATGTGTCAAAAATAATAGTAGAGGACTTGTCTATCATGCATGAAGTACTGCAATTAAAAAAAAAAAAAGAGAGAGAGAGAGACATAGTAATTAAAAAAACAAAACAAAATGGGGTTAGGATAATGGTTGCTCTTCCTGGGGACCTGGGTTTGATTCCCAGCTCACAACCATCTGTATCTACAGTCCCAGGAGACTGACGTCCTCATCTGGTCTCCCAGGGCACTGTATGTATTTCATGGTACACAGAAATACATGGAGGGAAAACACCCATACGCAGATGAAACAAAAATTAAAGGTTTCTATATGCGGCACCTGGATTCCTGTGATTCATTCCTAAGAGGCAAAACCGTGGGGGAGATGAGGTTAGCCAAGGCACAGAGATAGCATGCGGCGTAGGACGCAGCTCAGGTGGGACTGTTTGCCTTGCACAAATGAGTTTGCTCCCCGGCATAGCCACAATTAAAAACTAAAATAGCACCCAGAGCAAAGTACAAGTTAGGCAGCCTGGACTTTTATCTTCTAGTCCGGACACACCCAAAGGTGACTCCAGACTCAATGAATGCCATTACAGACAATGTGAGCAGCAAGTAAGAGGCTTATGTTCTATGGTTAACAAACTATAAAGTGGCGGTGAACCACTAATTCGGAGCCAGTGACTGGACGACTCAGAAACTTCGTCAGATGCATCTATCTGGAGGACATTTTCGTGTTTCCAATTGTGTAGCTTCTCTACGAACTGGAAGCCCAAGACTGACTTCTGGCCACGTTTCCACTCCCACCCCTTCGTGCTGCTGTAAACCCAAGACAGGCCAGGGGCTTGGCTAGGGTGTACACCAGGGCCCTGCCGCTCACCCACGACTCCGGGATCAGACTGGCCCACGTAGACCTACACTGGCCTGACCATCACTTACCCAGGGGCCCCTTCCCCGCGGCCTTGGCTTTCAGCTCCTCGAGTTTCTTCTGCTCCTCTTTCTGTTTCTGCTTGAAAGCCTTGTCCTCCTGCGGAGAGGCAGAGCAGGCTCACTCCAGATCAGTCGCCCATCCCTCTGCACCCGCCCGCGCCTCTGCTCCCGTCCTCACCTCATCCATCTCCTTGGCCTGCTTCTTGGGCTGTTTCAGGGGCTTCTTTTTGCCACCTGTGGGCGACACGTGGCGTGATCGGCCCGTCCCCGCCATCCATCGCCCTCGTCGTAACTCCCCATCCCATCGTCCCCCAGTCCCCAACTAGCCTTACCTTCGCGGCCGGACATGGCGCCGACAGCCCCTTCACCAGTCCCCGAGCCCAAGCCGGAAACGGAGCTTACAGCCCGCGCCTACGCCGCGCGGCGGGCCCCTTGATTGGCTCCTAGGCAGGAAGTTACGCCCACGCGTTTTAAATGACGCGGCCTGCAGGGGCGGGTGCTTACCGGCCAGGGGTCCTTTGAGTGGCAGACCTGGGGCTCACAGCTGGAGCGTAATAGGCTTAGGCTCTTCAGGTACGGGGCGGAAGGCTCGTTCGGTCTGGGACGATCGGAACCCGCCGGGGTTGGGGGGAGAGCGTGTGGCTACCAGGCCTGTAATCCTTGCACAGAAAGAAAGCATTGCAGGTGGAGGGGAGGGCGCGTGCAAAGCGCCTTTCCGGAACCCAGGCAGCACAGCCGGCTGGAACGAGATAGGATGGGAGACGGCACAAGTGGGTAGTGGTCCGCAGCTTCGGAAGCCGCGGGAAGAAGTTGGGGCTTCAGGAAATAATGAGTGCAGCCGTTTGCAAATTCTTTCTTCTAGTTTATTTTCGTTGAGTGTGTACTATATAGATACATAGTATTCTGGACTGGAGATTGGGCAAAACTGACATTGTGTAGCAAGACAAACTTACGGCGAAGCAAAGAAGTAAAATATGCATCGCACATTGTGTGACCAGTTGCGGAGGAAAAATAAGCAGAGAAAGTGGTTAAGGACTGCTCCATTGGTGGAATGTCGATTTTTCAATCGGGTGGTTAGGCTCAAATAGCCTTTCCAGGAGCTTTTTGAGCAGGACTTGAGGAAGGCCAGGGAGCAGACTTACACAGGGAACAAACGGCTAGTCAGTGCCAACGCCCTGGGTGAGGGATTGCCTCGTGTGTTCAGTCCTTCCTGTGACTGGAGTGAGTGAGAAACTGGCCAGTGCAGTCAGAGGAATGAGTGTCGATCCCCTGTAAGCTGTGGAGAAGACGTTTGCCTTGAAAGAAATCCGGGACTGTTGCAGCGTCTGAGCAGAGAGAGACACGGAGCTGTCTGTATTTGAAAAGACCAGTGGCTGCTCTGTTGATAGTTGACCTCAGAGCTGGAGTAGAGAAGCAGGGACACCTGTCAGGAGACAGTGAGGACGTGCAGCCTTGGGATGCTAGTCACTGAGACCCTGGCAGAAATGGGTCGGGGAGGGGGCCTCCTGGGTTTAGATAATATGAAATCCCGAGGAGAATTCTTGGCTGAAGAAGTCACAGAACTGGAATTACAGGCAGTTGTGAGCTGCCCAGTATTAGTGAGTGCTAGGAAACCAAACTCTAGTTTATATGCCTTCTTAACCTCTGAACCATCTTTCCAGCCCAGTAATTATTATTTTTTAATAAGAGCATTACTGATACAAAGCTTACTATATAACTCAGAGCAGGAATTGCTCTAACTACTGGGTTACCTCTCCAGCCCCCAAAACCAGGTTTTTGAGTTTGATTTTGAGACAGTGGCTTACTGTGTAGGCCTGGCTAGCTTAGAACTCACAGAGATCTGCCTGCTTCTGCCTTCTGAAATCTTGAATTAAATGCATGTGCCACCACACCCAATTATGGAGTAATTATTTTAAAATATTTTATTTATTTACTTATTTATTTATTTTGAGACAGGGTCTCACTATGCAGCCTTGCCTGACCTGGAACTTGCTATGTAGACCAGGCTGGCCTTGAACTCACAGAGATCCACCTGCCTCTGCTTCCTGAGTGGTGGGCCTGCACCACTACCTAGGCCTTACATTTTATTTTAATTACTTATACATCTATGTGTCTGTATGGAGGAATGTGCATGTGAGTACAGGTGCCCATGGAGGCCAGAAGAGGGCAGTGATTCTGTGTGGCTGGAGTTACAGGTGCTGCAAACATCCTGGGAACCAGACTTGTCTCCCCTGCCAGAGCAGAATGCTCTCTTCACCACCGCAATGCCATCCCCGCCCCCTCTAGCATTTCAAATCCAGAACAACATATGAGAGGGTAATCTGAGCACTGCATCTTGGGCTGCAAAACTGTCTGGCAGTTAGGGAGATTAGGGCAAAGGGGAGCCAAGGGAAAATGGCCTTTGAAGGAGGAGGGAGCCAGCAGCACAAGGCATGCGCTGATGAAGGGCAAATGAGACAGGGGTCAAGGACTGGCAGAGATGGAAGGGATCTGGACAGGAACCAGGTGACATTTGAGCAGAATCATCTGGACAAGGGTGAGAGTGAAGGCCACTGCAGAGAGGGTTTAAAAGACAACAGGAGGAGACGGGGTTCTGGAGGCCGGCGAGAGGTATGATACACAGGGCTAGTTGCTGGATGACGTTTCTCATCAACTGTGGAGCAGTGTCTGAGGGCATGCGTTGTTGCTCTTCCTAAGAAGCATGCTTTTTTTTTTCTTTTTTAGAGACAGGGTTTCTCTGTGTAGCCTTGCCTGTCCTGGACTTGTAGACCAGACTGGCCCTGAGCCCACTCCCACAGTGCTGGGATTACAGGCATGCACCACTGCACCTGGCTACATTTTAAGATCAAGAGAGAAGATGAAAAGCTGGCAGGCAGAGGCAGGCAGATCTCTTGAGTTTGAGGCCAACCTGGTCTACAGAGTTCCAGGACAGCCAGGGCTACACAGAGAAACCTTGTCTCAAAAAAAAAAAAAAAAAGGTGGAGACCAGAGATGCTGACCACTGGGAGAATGCTTGCTTAGCATGTACAAGACAATGGGTCTGGCGATTGAGAAAGCATGCCAGGATTTTGTAGAAGTCCCCCGTCCCCCATTCCCCGTTCCCTGGTTCAGTTTTCTTGGTGAGAAGCAGATGACACAGGTGTGAGAAAAGCAAGGGAGGAGACAGCCGAGTGGCGGCAGCAGGAGAACTGATCCAAAAAGGCAAGATGCAGAACTTGGTCCCCAGCTCCTGCTTGACATGGCCTCCGTCTGGCCTTCCCCCTCAGCCCATCTGTGTTGTACCTTCCAGGTACCTTCCAGCTGCGCTGACCCAAGAGCTTCCCAGCTTTTCCCTCTGCCCGCCCATTCTCCCTTCCCTGGTTGAAGGGCCTGTGAGACTCCGGTGTGTGGATGTCCCTGGGATTGAGAGACAGGCCAGCGCAGGTGGCGTGCCGAGGAGAGGCGGAAAGGAGGGAGCCGAGCAGGGAAATAAGCTGGGAGTTAGTGACACTTTTCTCTGAGGTTCCTGCCAAGTGCGTGTTCTTGCTAGGAAATGATATCTGATGCAGAAAGCAGGAAGGGTGGTCAAGGAAGGCCTTGCTGAAAGGGGACATTTGAGCAGACATAGCCGGGTCACACAGACCTGTGGAGGAAGAGGGGTGTTTTGGGGGGAGGTGGCGGGCCGGAGAACTGTGCGGATCATACGTAGTGTGTCAGGGTGGTCGGAGCAGAGTGTGGCCGTTGGGAGGAAGGGAGAGGTGAGGGCTGGGAGTGCCTGAACTTACTGGCTTTTGACAGGTCTCCATGCCAGGTGAGGTGGGGACTCTAAGCTGTGCTCTTACTCCTGTGTTAACTGGCCCTTTGGCTGCTCTGCCGGAAACAAGCTGTAGGTCCATCTCTGCCTGGATTAAGTGATATTCCAGGGAGCTGAGAGCAGTCAGCTGGGAGAGGACAGGAACTGGGCTGAAAAGGCTGGAGGAAGCTGAGGGAAAGCAATGGCTTCAGGAAGAAGTGGGTTTCTGAAATCTAGAGGGAGATCAGAGGTGTCTGAGTGGCGGGAGTTCAAGGTCTCTGAGTGGTAGAGTAAGATCAAGAGAGAAGGGAAGCAGCTGGGGCTGTGGGGTACACAGCCTCTGCTAGGTTTGATCCCTAACATGGAGAGGGCCTGGGGGCGGGGCTCAAGAGGAAGGTGTGAGGCAGTGGTGAATGGCCAATTCATTTCTGCCAAGTGCTGCTGGAAGGAGGCTGTTGTGCTTGGCGTGGACGAGAAGCCGTTGAGGGACTGTGGCAGCCTGTGTTTGGTGGCCCAGTTGTTGGGGCTTGGGGCAAGAATGTTGTAGGCTGCCTTGAGGACGGTCCTCGGCTTTATGCATGGGACACCAGAGTTCAGGTGGAGCACTAGCTTGGAGCCAGTGTCACCGAGAGCCTCTTCGGCTCTCAACTTAGGCCCACTTTGACCAGAAGGCATGTCCCTGTCTATCCAGCTTTGTTTTCAGAGGGACCCCAGAGTTCTACTAATGGGGGGGAGACTACATGAGGAAGCCCACTCAGACCTGCGTTTATTTATGCAATGTCCTTTTAATATGATCAAGTTAATATGCATATAGAGAAAGTCTCAGAATTATGCTGCCATCTCACAGTTACTACCTGTGAGAAGTTTTATGCCTTGAAACTAAAGAAAGAAATTCCAATAATAGTTTGAGGAAGCCGATTTGTGTTTTCTTGGCCCTTCTTCCTTTCCCAGCTCCCCTCACTTTCTCTTGTTGGCCACCAGGTGGCGCTTTGATCAGTGCTTTGGGGCTTAATGCTGGGTTGTGTTTTCGCTTTATTTATTTATTTATTTATTTATTTATTTATTTATTTATTTGAATATATATATTTAGACATTTGGTTTTCTTGTTTTAAATTTTATTTTATGTACATTGGTTTCTGCCTGCTTGTATATGTGTGTGAGGGTGTCAGAGCCCCTGGAATTGGAGTTACAGACAATTGTGGGTTGCCGTGTATATGTGTTGGGATTTGAACTCTGGTTCTTTGGAAGAGCCATCAATGCTCTTAACCGCTGAGCCATCTCTCCAGCGCTTAAAGCTGTTTGACCAGAGGAAGTTGCAAGGTTTTTCTGGGATTCTGGGTGACCTGGCCCTTCCCTCAAGATTCTGAGCCTGACTCTGGGCCCTGTCTACTCCCTGTTCTGTGCAGGTCAGAGGAAGTAAGTGTTATCAGGACTCAAACATCACAGCAGGGCTGAAAGGAGCCAGGGAATCCTGACCTGCTGAGCAATGGCCCAGGCTGGGCCTCTGTGAGACAGAGACTTGGTAACCTGAAAAGTCAGGTGGAAGGGCAGAAGGATGGTGTGATTTGAACCTAAGAAAAGCACTCTGCAGTCGGTTTTTTTGTTTATTCCTCCCTCTCCTTTCAAGGGAGATCTAGTAGAAGCCTCGGAGAGCCTGGGAATTAGGTGCAAGGGTCTTTTATAGGAATGAAACTGGACGTTAACATTCTCTCATTCATCCTTAGGTCCATCATTTCCAGGGAGTCATTTTGTGAGTGTGTGTGTGTGTGTGTGTGTGTGTGTGTGTGTGTGTGTATGTGTATGTGTGTGTGCATGTGTGTCTGGGTAAGTACACTATCACGAAGCGATATTCCCAGTCCCCTAAAAGCATTTTTACTTGTTGTTGTTATTGTTATTCTGTTGTTGCTGTTGTTTGAGACAGGGTCTCACTCTGTAGCCCTGGCTGGCCTGCAGCTTGCTATATACACGATGCTATTCTTGACCATCCCTCCGGCATCCCTCCAGGTAGCTGCAATCAGGAACCTGTACTGCCAGGCACATCACACAGGGCCTCTGTGAATCTTTTTGTCTTCATGGGCAATTCAGGCTTGAGGATTTTCTCTGACAGTAGCAGAAAAAGCAGCACCAAGAGTCTTATCTAGGTCCTGTTGGAGAGACCCAGGAGATGGTGCGAATGTAGTCGGAGCTGGTCTGTATGGCATTGTGGGAAGAAAGGGAAGGCATGATACCCTGATAAGCTTTCCCACATGTGTTTCCTTGTCCTGAGGACCCATGGGAAAGCCTGGCCTTCTTCTTGCTATAGGGGCAGAAATTAGTCTGTTCAGCCTAGGCTTTGAGACCCGACTTGTGTGCAGCCTTTCTCAGTCAGGAGCTGATCTGTCTGGTGTCATTCTCACAGCCCTTCCGATGACAGGGAACAGCCCTGTGTTTGCCATGCAACAGATGGTGGCGGGTGCGCCCCACGTACTGGTACGGAGAACCTTCCCCAGACCAGACCTCCTTATGACAAGGACTCTGTGCAGCCCAGGTCCCAGCCAGCCCAGAGAGAAGCGACCAGAGGCTGCGGCCTTAGGGCTGTATCACCGCCTCCCAGCACTGGGAAGAAGGCTGGGCCACACCATCCGGCAACAGGCGTCCTCCACAGCCAAGGCTTGGTGGGACAGATATGAAGAGTTTGTGGGACTCAATGAAGTCCGAGAGGCCCAGGGAAATGTGACAGAGGTGAGGAGGGGAGCCGGGGTGGCTGGCTTTGCCTTCGGATTTGGGAAATATGGCTTGGGCTCCTAACAAGAAAGTTCGCAGCTATGTGTGTGAGGGCAACTGGGAAACTGTGTGGACACTTGTGTCTTTTTTGTTTGAGACAGGGTCTTACGTTCCCCAGGCTAGCCTTGGAGTCCCTTTGTAGCCAAACTCCTGACCTTCCTGCGTCCACCTTCTGAGTGTTGGGAATGTAGGTATGTGCCATCATAACTAGCCTTTTGTGTCCCCCCCCCCCCCCCCCCCCCCCCCGAGACAGGGTTTTGTCCTGAAGTCCAGACTTGCCTGGAATTTACAATATCTTCTAGTCTAGCTGTGAATTTGTGATCTTCATACCTCAGTGCTGAGATTATAGGCATGGGTCACCATACCCAGCTCAGACTTGCCTTTTTTTTCTTTTCTTTTGTTATTTTATTTTTAAAAGTTTTTTTTAAATATTTATTTTATGTATGAGTGCTTGAGTGCTCTATCTGCATGTACACCTGCATGCCACTAGAGGGCATCAGATCACATAAATGGTTGTGAGCCACCATGTGGTTGCTGGGAATTAAACTCAGGACCTCTGGCAGAGCAGACAGTGCTTTTATCTGCTGAGCCATCCCTCCAGCCCTAGACTCGCCTTTTCTTTCACAGACATCACTGGTAGAAATATTTGACTCTTTCTTGTGTGGAAATCTGGGTTGGTAGTACTGGGGTGAAAGTCTCTGTGTTAATTATACTCACTGTTCTCTGTGAAAATACTCAAGTACTGGAAAGTCCCTAGCTAATGACTCCCCCTTGTATTAGGCCAGCAAATCGTCCTTCAAGTATGTTTTTGCCTTGTGGTGTGGAGGCGGAGGGCACTGGGAAACATTGTACTGGGAGGTGGGCAGAGCTGCCTGTGGTTTTCAGGTCCTTAGTGGCTGCAGAAATGTACTCTGTCGCCTGTCCCCACTCACATACAGAGCAGTGTAGCAAGGTAGGGAAAGATCGGGAGGTTGGCTGGGGATTTGAGACATGTGGTTGTCTCTTCTCCTTGGAAAATATTTGTACCATGAGTTTGGCTGAATTGGAATTTCCAGGGCCATGAGGTGCAGGCAGCAGCAATGCCCTGATGCTGGTGTTGCAGGCTGCGGCAACACTCTGGAAACAGCACGAGGCATGGATGGTGGATGGTTCCTCACAGTGCTTCCCGTCAGATCAGAGTTGGCTGGATTTAGTGGGCAAAGATTGTGTCACTGTTTGCTTTTTGCAAGTTTCTCAGGGGCATGTTATTTCTGCTTGAATGAACAAATCCAGTGCTTCACGTGGGTGTGGCCTACAGCTGCATGTTGAGCATGCCAGAGCAAGCTGGGATTAGAGTCCAAGGCGCTGTTTCTGCCTCTCACAGTGACACCCCGGTGACCCTTTCCTAGCTGCTGCCTTGTTAGCTGTGGAGCCAAGCCTGAGAGGGGATGGGCAGAGGAAGCTAACACCTCTGACGTTCTCCCTGCAGGCGGAGAAAGTGTTCATGGTGGCCCGAAGCCTTGTCGGAGAGGCTCGGGAGGCTTTAGAAGCCCAGCAGGCTAAGCTGAAGGAGGTGAGGGACCGCTTGGACCGAGTCTCCAGAGAGGACAACCAGTACCTGGAACTGGCTACTTTGGAACACAGGATGCTGCAGGTGGGTGCCTCAGGAAGCAGCCCTCCCTCACCCGCGCAAGGCTCCTAGCATGGCAGTGGGGGGGGGGGTCATAACCCTCACGTTGATCCGAGCTCTTGGGGGTGGGGGAGGTAAGCCAGAAGCTTCTATGGTGGTCTTGGCCCCAGGCTTCTAGAGCCTGTCTGCTCGCTCTTTCCTGAGTACTGACAACAGTCCAGCAAAGTACTGCCTGGCACCCAACCTGCTGAAGAGAGTGTGATGGTGTCAGCTCAGGGAGTACTAGATACTTATTTGCCTATAGCCTTGTTCTGCCTGACTGCCCAGGAGGAAGATCATGTGACTACCTTTCACGCTCTCTGCTCCTGCAGTCTTCATTCTTGAGGCAGGTGCTTGTGGAGCCCAGGGCAGGGGAGTGGCCCCGTGCCAGAGGCTAGAGTCCCAAGACTCCTTGCTGCTCTCTGACACCTCTTTGCTCCCACAGGAAGAAAAGAGGCTCCGAACAGCGTATCTGCGTGCAGAAGACTCGGAGCGGGAGAAGTTCTCTCTCTTCTCTGCAGCTGTGCGGGAGAGTCATGAGAAGGAGCGCACAAGGGCGGAGAGGACCAAGAACTGGTCCCTCATTGGGTCCATTCTAGGAGCTCTGATTGGTGTGGCTGGCTCCACCTATGTTAACCGGGTCCGGCTGCAAGAGCTGAAGGCCTTACTCCTGGAGGCCCAGAAAGGGCCCGCGAGTCTCCAGGAGGCCATCCGTGAACAGGCTTCTAGCTACTCCCTCCAACAGAGAGACCTCCAGGACCTTATGGTGGATCTGAGGGGCCTGGTGCATGCTGGGCAGGACCAGGGCTCCGGGTTACCAACAGGTACTCCTTCTGCCCCAGGAAAAGACATCGATGTCCTTTCAGCTGCCATGAAAGAGCAGCTCAGTCATTCCCGGCAGGTCCATTCCTGCCTAGAGGGTTTACGAGAGCAGCTTGACGGCCTGGAAAAGACTTGCAGCCAAATGGCTGGGGTGGTTCAGCTTGCAAAGGCTACAGTACATCCAGGCCTGGTGGAGCCGGGAGATGGGCCCCTGCCCAGCCCTCTGTTGGAACATGGGAGCGTGATCTTGGCCCTGTCTGAGGTGGAGCAGCGGTTAGAGGCCCGAGTCACCAGGAATACTGTCTGCAGCACACTGGTCACCTGTGTCACTGTTATAGCCACATTGCCGGTGCTGTACATGCTCTTCAAGACCAGTTAGCCCCGGCGCCCTTCTCCAGAGGGGCCTAATGGTGACGGTGGCTTTTGTTGGTGATAGAATGAATTTTAAGGTACACACACTTCAGCCTGACTCTGAGTGCCATCAAGGGGGCTCACCGGCAGGTATATATTTTGTAGGGAATGCTTATTTACATTATCAAAACTTTGTGCAAATGTTCAATTAAAACACCTAAGAGTTTGTATTATTTAAAAGATTTTTGCATCAGACTCAGTTTTGTTGTTGTTGTTGTGTTTTTGTTTTGTTTTGTTTTTGAGACAGGGTTTCTCTGAGTAGCGTTGGCTGTCTCCTGGACTTGCTTTGTAGACCAGGCTAGCCTCAAACTCAGAGATCCTCCTGCCTCTGCCTCCCCCGAGAGCTGGGATTACAGGTGTGCACCACCGCACCCAGCTCATCAGACTCAGTTTTATCGTTGACTTCAGAAGTCTAGGACTTGGGGTTTAGCCTGGACAGGACAGTGTTAGATGAGGTTATCCCTGATGTCTGGATTCTCACTTTGAATATCCTGACTTGTCCTCTGCCTGTTGGGCCTTCCTGTCTGGGGTTCAGGCGAGTAGATCTGGAGTTGTGGTTCTGATGCTGGAAGTGCGCTCAGAAGAAGGGAAGGAGCTCAGGGGACATCGTTAAGATCCATGGCTGGTCTGTATCCCACTGCACAGTACTCGCCCTGCAACCTGGGACTCTCAAAAGGCATGGGCATAGTCCAGGCCCATGCTGTTGGTTAAAGGAAGGGGCCAGTGAGACCTGGAAGCTGACTGCCACGAGAACCTTGACCTCTCTCTTCAAAGGGAACAGTGACCCCTGACCTCCTCTGCTAAATGGCATGGGTGGCCTTGTGTAAATAGAGTTTGTGGGGTGTTGCTCTGTGCCTGAATATTAGAAGTCTGGAACCACAGTGAAGAGTCAGTCTAACAGACAACCCCAGAGGGCACCCCCACCCTGGGTGCTTCCAGTGGGAGCTTGTTCCTGCCTGTGGAGTCTGTGTTTCCCACGAGGATTCCTCTGCTCTCGAATGCTGTGTGCGTTCCTAAACAACAAGCCTGGCCCCAAATGGCTCCTGAGTTCTGTGAACCTCCGGGAACATAATCTCTGGGTCATTTGGTCACTTGATTGTCCATATACAACAGTTCCCTGGGGAATGAGGGGAACCCAGCTCTAAGCGTGTTCGTCCATATCCGAAGGGCCAGGAGGTATCAGAGCTGCACAGATGAGGAAGGCTGTGGCACTGAGGTCAAGCTCCCCTCTGGGATAAAGTCAGTTCCATGCGTTTGAGGAGGAGGATCTGAGGGGAGAGGAATCCCCAGACACGAAAGGAGCCCCTTCCTGTAGCAGGAGGGCAACGTGAGAGAGCCAGTGCGGACTACCCTAGCCCAGGTGGGGAGAGACTTGGGAGAGTTAGGAGCAGAGGTTAGAGGGTCCGGGGGCTGGCTGGAGCGCTGGGTTGGCACTTTAAGTGTCAGGGCAGGGATGAGAGGATCTGGAAGGGTTGTCATGGTGCCGACAAGGTGCTAGGTGACTGGAACCAGGCGCTGCAAGTGGGGGGTGGAGGAAAAAGAGCGGTGACCGAGGGAAAAGGGTATTTTGGAAAGCAGGCGGGGGAAAGGACCCTGACCAAAAGCAAGTTGGGGAGGAAAGGGTTTATTTGGCTTAAGCTGCCGCATCACTGTTCATCACTGACAGGAACAGGACAGGACCGGACCTCAAGCAGGGCCAGAACCTGGAGGCAGGAGCTGATGCAGAGGCCGAGGAGGGGTGCTGCTTACTGGCTTGCTCAGCCTGCTTTCTTATAGAAGCCAGGGCCCCGGCCCAGGGGTGGCCCCACCCACAATGGGTTGGGCCCTCTCCCATCAATCACTAATTAAGAAATGCCCTACAGCGAGATCTTATGGCGGATTTTCACAACTGAAGTTCCCTCCTTTCAGGTAACTCGAGCTTGTGTCAAGTTGACGTAAAACCAGCCAGCACAGCCCCCACCCCTTGAGGTGGGGGTGTGGGGGTGCGGCAGAGTAAGTCCGGCGTCAGCTCTTAGTGAAGGGCCAGAGGCGGAAGACTCGGCTCTAACATTAGAGCCTTCCAGGTGATGTATATGGCAGATTTAGCTTTGGCCTTGAGCCGAAGTCCTCCAAAAGCCCACAGGGTGGGTCGGGTCCTGGCTCTACAGACTGCCAGGGCAAGCCCGGGTGTGAAGAGCCCTCCAAAAGGCCCAGTGCCACCGGCCTCCGGAGGGAAGCTCGGCCCAGGGTTTCTTTCCGGGGAAAACCCAGGTGTTTCCCAAGGATGGAGTCCAGACCTGCTCAAGACTTGAGTTCTGGATGGCTCCAGGTACAGGCCTTGGAGGAAAGAAATGAAAGGAGACCCTACTTTTGCACCTCGCAGCCAGCGTACCCTCCTTCCACCTATGGGTGGTATCACCCCCCCCCCACCTTGCCAAAGAGCAAATAGGTTGGGGGAGGGGTGTCAGGTTACAAGGGCTCAGTGGTGGCGCAAACTCCCGTCCAAAGCCCAGGCTCTCTTCAAACAGCCAGCGGTGGGGGCCGGAAGGAGAGGTTGAGTGTCGAGGTGTACCGGGAGAAGGGAAGGTGGGCAGGGCCAGGTGAGAAGAGGAGAAAGCTGGCGCCTAGAAGTTCAGGTGAAGAAAGTTGGGGGAGGATGGCCACAAGGGCAGGGAACCGGCAGGCAAAGAGGGCGCTCCGGGCGCTGGGCGAGGCGCGTGGGGGGCGGTGAGGATGGTGGTTAGGGAACAGGCCGAGCAGGTGTGGGGCACACGTCCCATCGAACTCCGGCGGGACGGGAAGAGGCTCCGGTGCCGTCTCCCAACACCGCGGAGAGTCAGGCTAAGCAGCCATGGCCGCAGCCTCCAGCGCTCGGGGAGTGGGGCCAGCTGCTCGGGTCCTGAGCCGCGCCGCCCGCAGGTGAGGCCGGGCGGGGCGGGGCGGACCGCCCACGCTCCGGGGCTGCACGTCCGCGTCGCCATGGCTACCGCCGGGGAGCAACAACCCCCACCTAAGGAGAGGGGCTTATCAGCCCCCAGCCCGGGGCCCTTCACAAACTCGGATCCCGCGGGACCGGAATGCGGGATCCCGGGTGGCTGGGGCCGCGCACCCGGCTCCCCGGCTGCTTCCGGCCTGGCCGGGGCAGCGCGCGGGGGGAGGGCGGCCCGACGGGCGCGGACGGGGGGAGGCGGTGTGGAAGGAGCGGAGCCCGGGCCGGCCGACGCGGCTTTGTCTCCTTTGTTCCCAGCGGTGGCAGCGCCGCGGCGGGAGGGGCGGGCAGCGGGCGCAGTTTTTCCGCCCCTCGGTCTCCGGGTAACAGCTGCGGCTCCGCCAGACCCACCTCCGGGGGGAGGGGAGGCCGCGGCGCGCAGACCCCGGGCGAGCCCGGAGCGGCCGGCGGACGCCTCGCCGCGCGCATCCCGCGGGCGGCTCGGGCGGTGAGTTGCGGGGCTCGGCTGGGGAGGCGGGGCCGAGGCGAGGGCCGCGCGCGCCTGGGTGGGGCGGCCCGAGGCCTGGGTCCCGCCGGGCGCCCGTGTCCCGTGCAGCGGCGGGCGGCTGCGGTCCCGAGAGTTGGGGACCACGCTCGTGCGCGCGCGGAGGGAAACTCTGGCGGCGCCGCCTGGAACGCGATTGGGAGACGGAGGAGGTGGAGCTGCTCCTCCGCGCCCCCTCCTCGCTGCCACCGCCGCGGTCGGGACCGGCCGGCCCCTTCCCCGCCCTCCCAGGGCCGCTGCTGGGGTCTTTGTCCCGTGGCGCGGTGGAGGGAGGAGGGCTGAGGATGAGCCGAAGCGGGGAAGTGGAGGCTTCCCCGTGGGATAGCAGACCCTTCGGGCCGAGACTGACCAGGAGGACCACGAGCCTTCTGACACTGGGACTCCGTCTCGGTACCGGCATACCCAGCGGGTGCTTGATGAGCGCCTTATTTATCGCGGGTGTCTGGTAGATGATGGCTCCTTCCACCCTACTCCACATCCAGAAAGCAGGTGTGCAGTGCGCACCCCTTGACTGTCAATGAGTAACTCTCCCTTTTAAGTGGATGCTGGTACGAGGGGGAGCGGGAAGAGAGGGCGCTCAGAAAGGGAAGGCCAGTTTTCCCAGACAAGACATGTGCAGGTGTGGAAGGGCCGAACTTGTGAGCCCTGTTGGTTGTGAGAACAGCTGCTGCGGGAGGGACTCAGGTGGTGCCTGGTCTTTGCAGAAGTCAGGCAAGCCGTCTTGGGCCCAGCCGCAGGGTTTCGGGGAGTGTAGGCTCTGAAGAGGCCTGTGGGGCAGGCCTGGGCACAGGCAGAGTTAGTTAGACTTTGGCTATGAGCCTGGGCAGAGCCTGAGATGTGGGGATACTGGCAGTGCAAGTTAGGGACGGAAGGCTTGGCTCCAAGGGAGTGTTTTCAGCCTGCTCTAGTCTGGTCATTAATAAAACTGGGCCGATCCCCTCCTTTTGAGAGGCCAAGAGCCTCGGAAAGCGTTGTGCGAGCTCCATGTTACCCTTCCTGGCTGGATCTCTTTGGCAGTGAAACGGGGGCTAGGCAACACCTGCTCTTCGTTGAGTTTGCTGGTTGCTGGGGCCTCCTAATTAAAAGTGGGTGCTCCCTGCCTTTGAAGAGCTCTTGTCTGGATTGGAAGGACATGGTCCTGGGGCCCTCTTATGCCAGGTACACTCTACTAGGTCTACTGGTCAGAGCAGTTGTTCCTGGCCTCCTCCCGCCAACGGGAAATCTGAGGCTCCAAGCCCAAGGAAGAGCAGGATAGCTAGGTCAGGCTGGTGGCTGGCTGTGTTCACTTCATCTCCTGCACAGGGCCACCTCCTCAGGAGCCTGGGAGGCCTAGAAGGCTCCCCAGGGAGGCGATGGCTGGGCGTGGGAGGTAATGGGAGAGAGAGGGAGTGGGCATTCCAGGCTGAGGGAACAGCCCTTGTGATGGCAGGGAGGAGTAGAACAAGCCTGCAGTTTAGGCAGGAACGAGGAGCATGCGTGTGGGAGGATGTCAGGGAGAGCGGCTTGACCTTTATTTCTCCAGCCCTAGGGTACCCCCAAAAGCTTGAGGAGTGTGTGCACTCCATTTTTTGTTTAAAGAAGATCCAGTGAGGTCCTCCTAGATTGGAGGGATGAGAGATACCTTTGTGGCTTGTAGCTGGAGTTGAGTGAAATCTGTTTGCCAGCATGAGGGAGAAAAATGTCACTACCCATTGTCCTTCCACTGCTCA